TTCTCCCATCATTGGACTCTGTCGTCTGCCCCTCTGGCCCCTATCCTCCACTTGTACTAGCTAGACGACCCACCCGGGGTCACAAAGGAGGGGTTCATGCCTGAGGTATTTTTATCGCGGGAAGGGTACAGCAATCCCAATCCCTCGCGACTTACGCAGTCGATTATGGTTTACTAACAAACGAGCTTTGCAGCGCGTCGCTTTCATCCTAGACCAGGATTTATTTAGTGAGAAAAAAACTCTCTCTGCCGGGACTCGAACCCATGACCTGGCCCTTAGCAGGCTGCGAGGCTACCCACTAGACCACCGGGGCGACCGGTACGTACAGTGCTTACAAGTGTCTCTGGAAGTGAAAGCACCATGAATTAAATTAAGTCATACGCAGCTGTCATCCGTACGCAGTAAGTAGGCGCAAGATGCCGAACACCCTTAGCAGGATGCAGCGCACCCTTCATCCGACTCGCCAAATACCTCACGGCCTTTCGCGCTTGGTGACGTGAGAGCCTGGTCCGGTGCGAACCTGGCGTGCTCCGTCCCGGCTTTGTAGGGATGCGAGGTCAATGGTCTAACGACTACGGCATGCACGACTATGAGTACACCCCCCCCCCNGCTTGCCAGCGATGTTGTAAAAGAAGCCGATCACTTCGTGAGCTCAGCAACCAGGTTACTGCTTTTTGTTTGCCATATAATTTTTTTTTGGCGGTAACCATAATGGTGGTCGAGTAGATTATGTTGTGTGGGGTCGAGAACCCTCACTCAAGCAAAGGGGATAATCGCAAGTTGTGTTCAATCGGTCAAGCACCCTCGAGGCAGTTACACAGCACATACAAGTGTCTCTGGAAGTGAAAGTACCAAAAAATAAATTAAGTCGTACGCAGCTGTCGTCTGTACGCAAGGAAGTAAGCACAAGTTGCCGAACACCCTCCGCAGAATGCAGCACACCCTTCGTGCGACTCGCCGAATACCTCACGGCGCTTCGCGCTTGATGATGTGAGAGCCT